AGGAGGCTCCTGGTCCTGGGCATGACCTAAAACTGCACCCTGCCGGGAGTGGGTGGCCTGGTGGGGCTCTCAGTGGTGCGGGAGCCCCCAGGAAATGTCAGGCCAGTTACCACCCTGGTGAAAGGCGGGTCGGGGCGCCTTAACCCCTAGCCCCCACCACCGGGTGGGTAACCCCTGTGTTTGTGAAGGGCACAGAGGGCGGACCCTGAGAGAGAGTGAGGGGCTAGAGACCCGGCCCGAATGAGAGAGTACCCTCGACTGGCCCATGCTGGGGCCAGGACCAGGATGGTCAAAAGGGCCAGGGGCCCACTGCGAGGGACGCCCAAGAGCCAGGGGCCTGGGGTCCCAACTGGCCTGGAGGTGGGCCAGGGCTAATAGCCGAAGGTCCCGGGGGGACCACGCCCGAGAAGGGAAAATGGCTTCGGGGGGCTAGGTAGCCCGGATGAAGGCGGAGAGGCCGCCTGATTGGAGGGATCGTGGAGGGGTCCTGTTTGGAAGATTCTGGGGCCCAGCGTGGGGGCCGGTGAGGACATGAACATCAAGATGCCATCTGCGAGGCTTGGGCTGCAGTATTGGGGAGGATAGGAGCCGCAGAGAGCGCCCCCTGGCATTGGGGCACTAAAATGGGCAGCCTCCCGCTTAATTGATATCAATCAGTAAATCAATTAACATCAAGGCGTGGCAGGCAAGAAGGCGGGCAGTTGCCCCAAAAACAGGTGGGCGGGCCACGGAGATCGGCCCCGAGGAGGTTCCCTGTTACATATGGATACAAGACAAGGAGCTCCCCCTCCCCTGCCCCCCCATGCTGGCTAGGGGGGAGGGAAGGGGAGGGAGCAAACCTCATCTTATATTCAAGAAAATATGGTAATAGAATTTCCCTGTTATTTCTATACGTCAGCACTATATCTGACAAATTTAAGTTTAAAGACTATTTGGAGATTGAGTACTGATCAAGTTTCACTCCCAAAAAAGAAAAGACTCATACACTTAATACTGCTTCTCAAAAGCCCCTACTTCCCCTTATGATCTTCTAAGTTGGTTTTCTGGGGGAGAAAAATAAAAGCTTAACATTTCTAACTACTTCTGCCTACCGATTTCTTATTAACAAGAGGAACAGTTTATGCTGAAGCATGTTCTAACCTTTCTCTATGAAGATCTGTGATTTTCACTCCTGACAGCTCTTCCAGTTCTGCCACTGATCCAATGCAAACCACCTGTTAAAAATAGTCAATTATTTTACAACCAGTTATATTGATATTTTAAAAGTTACGACAGCATTGTATTAGAGACCAATTTCTATAACAATACAGAGATTAAGTATACAATAAAAAAATAAGTCAAATTTGCCCTTTTAAACTGAAACTTGCAACTTTCTGCTCTGTTACTTCAGTGTGTATGGGGGAAAATTGAATTCGAAACCAATTATGTTACATATGACACACAGTATTTCAATAGCAATTTTCATCCGAAGATCTCAAATTATTCTACTGAGCTGCTAGATAGCCTATGTTACAGTTTAGACAAGGAAGCCAGAAAGGCTAAATGATCTGCCTTACCAAAATGAAAAAGTAGTAAAAGTTTGGCACAGAATCCGTATCTCCTAGGCCTAATCTAATACTTCAACTACCAGGAAAGTTGCTTCACAAGAAAGTTAAAAAGGCCTTCAGATAATGATATGAAATGCTTCATAACATCATTAACCGTTTAGAATGTGTGTTGTAGCTAAGATCAAATGAAAATGGTCATTATTTAGCGTTCGTCAACCTTTTTACATCAATATGCCCTTATTCTAAGGTCAAAGCAATCAAACTGTTTCTTCATATTTACCATAAGAGAAAAATAACTCCATTTGGTGTTTTTATTTATATTGTTGTAAAATACAGGAGAAGAAGGAAAAGCCTACATAATGTAATTATGTGGGCTTTTAACAACACTCTGAAGCCTGATCTTGAGGAGTAAGCACATGCAGGGTATAAGGAAGCAAAGTTTTTCTCATCTTTAAATTATAATACTAACTGAAGAATTCATGACCCCCCTTCCTTTTCTCCCTCTTCCATGTGTACATACCCGCTACCGCCACCTTCTGGGTCATGGCCAACTAGGAAATATTGGTCTAGGCATAAGAGATTTGATTAAATCCCAGGTGCTATTGCCCCACATTAAAATCTTCACATTGTGAAGGGGAAAACAATGGCTGTTTGAGGAAGCAAAGGTTGAGCAGAAAAACAGTAATGCCCAGCTGAGCATGAGAGTCATGAGCTAGACACCTTTCACATAGCTATCTTTCAAGGTTATATTAACTGACCTCTTGTGCTTTAGGGACACGAATCATAACCCTTATGACTAAAGATAACCCTACACATACATTTATGTGCTCTGAGAAGCTAAAAAAGCTAGAGCACATTTTGTTTTATTTTTGCAAGTCATTGTTCATTGCTATTGTGATTGGAGGCCTTTATTTTATTTTATTTTTTAAGGACAAACAAGTTCACAATTGAATTAAACTGCCAGCCTATGTTATTAAACACCACCTCTGGTTCTCAAAATACTTTAAACACGTATTGAAAAACTTCATATACTTCAGCACACTTTCCTGGTTAAACAACAGAAGTTAAGCTCCTACGTGCTGGAGAGTTTGAAATTAAAGTTGCTGCTGTGAAATATATGTTTTAAAATTACTGTTTTCTTGGTTTTGCTTCTAAATGATGCATAAATCTGTTTTTCAATTCATATTTGAAATACAATTTGCTATTATTTAGTCGTTTTTGTGGAAAGTTATAAATTTAAATTCTCTAATCTCAATGATTTTCATAAAGTAATTAAAACACCTTCAATTATGTACCTTTACTTAATAATTATGCCAGTAAATGCAACTGAAATAACTGAGGACTACATATTGATTTGCAATGTATAATACCAATTATAAATTACATTTCACTGCATAATATCAATTAATTCACTTCACTACATATTAAATAATGAAGCCACATAATTTCTTCTGGTTTTAATGTGCACAGTACAATCACATGCACCGAACCAGTTCTTCCACGGGGTCGGGGGGAATTTACAGTAGTCTGGTATGGCTCTTTTCATATTAAAGGTAACTAAATATATAAATAAAGGTAACTAAATAACTAAATAAAGGATCCGGCTAACTATAGGCCCATCAGCCTGACTTCTATCCCGGGGAAGATCTTAGAAAAGTTTATTAAGGAGGCCATCCTTAATGGACTGGCCGACGCCGACATCTTAAGGGATAGCCAGCACGGGTTTGTTGCGGGTAGGTCTTGCTTGACCAATCTCATTTCCTTCTACGACCAGGTGACCTATCACCTGGACAAGGGAGATGAGATTGATGTCATATATCTTGACTTCAAAAAAAGCCTTCGATCTGGTGTCCCATGATCGCCTCTTGGAGAAACTGGCCAATTGTCGCCTTGGGTCCTCCACGATCCGCTGGCTGGAAAATTGGCTCCGGGGTCGGACCCAGAGGGTAGTAATTGATGGAAGTCACTCATCGTGGTGTCCTGTGACCAGTGGGGTCCCCCAGGGCTCTGTCCTTGGACCCATACTGTTCAACATCTTCATTAATGATGTGGACACTGGAGTCAGAAGCGGACTGGCCAAGTTCGCCGATGACACCAAACTTTGGGGCAAAGCATCCACACCAGAAGACAGGCAGGTTATCCAGGCTGACCTGGACAGGCTCAGCAAGTGGGTGGACGAGAATCTGATGGTGTTCAATGCCGATAAATGCAAGGTTCTCCACCTTGGGAAGAAAAACCCTCAGCATCCTTATAGGCTCAGCAGTGCTATGTTGGCTAGCACTATGGAAGAAAGAGACTTGGGGGTCATCATTGACCACAAGATGAACATGAGCCTGCAATGCGATGCGGCGGCTAGTAAAGTGACCAAAACGCTGGCTTGCATCCATAGATGCTTCTCAAGCAAATCCCAGGACGTCATTCTCCCCCTGTACTCGGCCTTAGTGAGGCCGCAGCTGGAGTACTGTGTCCAGTTTTGGGCTCTACAATTCAAAAAGGACGTGGAGAAGCTTGAGAGAGTCCAGAGAAGAGCCACGCACATGATCAGAGGTCAGGGAAGCAGACCCTACGATGACAGGCTGAGAGCCCTGGGGCTCTTTAGCCTGGAAAAGCGCAGGCTCAGGGGTGATCTGATGGCCACCTACAAGTTTATCAGGGGTGACCGGGAACGTTTGTTCACCAGAGCGCCCCAAGGGATGACGAGGTCGAATGGTCACAAACTACGACAAGATCGTTTCAGGCTGGACATAAGGAAGAAATTCTTTACTGTCCGAGCCCCCAAGGTCTGGAACAGCCTGCCACCGGAGGTTGTTCAAGCGCCTTCATTGAACACCTTCAAGATGAAACTGGATGCTTATCTTGCTGGGATCCTATGACCCCAGCTGACTTCCTGCCCTTTGGGCAGGGGCCTGGACTCGATGATCTTCCGAGGTCCCTTCCAGCCCTAATGTGTATGAAATCTATGAAATAAATATAAAAACATTCCTAGCTTTAATTTTGAAAGGGCTCAGCAGCCATACCAAACTACTGACCTGCAATACCATCTCTAGCCAGTGGTTAGGTGAATTCTTTAAAGAGGTCAGTAAGCACTTCTACCATTCCTACCCCAAATATCTGAACTCTAGAAAATATTTTCACTAAAACCAAAAGGGAATGAAACTCTGTCTTCCAGGTTAGAAAAGTACAAAACTAAAACAAGGAAATGAAGAATCAAGAGATTCCATGCAACATTACAAGAGGTCAATATAGAGAAGTAATGTTATTCATGTCTAGACTTTTTCAGCTATAAACCAAAATATTCTTCAAATATTTTAGTGCGATAATAATGATTTTAATGCAAAACCTTTTTATAGTGCAGAATGCATTTTTATTTTAACTTTGTTCAGTGGTGTGAAACATATGGCCTGCAGACCAGATCTGGCATATAGAGCCATATTATCTGGCCCACGGGTTGCTGGACCAGCCCCACACACTGGCTACATCCCCACATGCTGCCTGCAGCACATGGGCTTGACCTGGAGCCACATACTTTCCATACCAAACTGGACTGGCCTTGCATGCTGGCTCTAAGGCCGATTTGGATCAGGTCATGCCAAAGCCAGCACACAGGGCTGGTTTAACAGAACACTACATACAGGATGCACCCCATGCCAGTCCCTTGTGCAGCACATGCCACATGCAGCGCACACAGCTTGCAGCCCAAGCTAGACTCAGAGCTGAATGCAACACAAGGAAACTGCAAAGTGTGCTGCCTGCAGTGCCAGCTTTAGCCCATACACCACAAGCAGTGCACACCCTGCACGTCAACCCTGTGGGCCACATTCACAGTGAGTCCCAGACTGGCATGTGCTATGCATGGGCTGGACCCAGTGCTGCAGGCATTGAACAGTGGCCAAGTCCCAGTCCAACCCAAAGAACCTCACAGGGCCAAATAAATTTGACACTGCTACCTTACCTTATGTATACGAGTTATATGTAAAACTGCAAACCTTGAACCTCAGAAGGCTGAGTCAAAAGGAGGCACTGATTTCAGAACCATTTTCTTGATGGACTTACATTTTGATCATGTGGACAGCATTTTAAAAGAGGTTGTTATGCTACCTCCCCTGGACCCTGATCCCAACTACTTTGAGGAGTCTCTCTCCCATTGACAATACATGGCTACATCCAGATGGTGAATTTTTCAACCCTAGCAGCAATGCCTTCAAGCACATGGTGCAGCTCCAGAAGGCTGCCTTCTGAACAGTGTTTGCATGGGCAGGTTAATGGACAGTGCTAATTAGCCTAGTCAAGTGCTACACAGAGGCTACTACACTGTTTCTGGCTCAGTAGGCAGCCCACTGGGAGCACTGCTGCATGCTTGAGATGTTCATTCCTACCATTTGTGACAGCAAGTTGATCACAAAGGCATGGCCATGACATGCCTACCTAGCAGTATTACTGCAAAAAGAAGAGTGCAGCAACAAAGCACTTAGCACATTGTTACCTATCATAAATTGATTTAGGTAACTGCTTGCAGGGACACACTGTTAGCAGTGTGACCAAACAGCTCTGCACAAACCATCACTGGGTCCAAGGACCATCATTTGAGAATATGCCCCTAAGGAGTTTTCCCAAAGGGCACAGCAGGCTATATTTCAAGAAAAGAAAGATTTTAGGTAGAGAAGAAGGTCAGGTTGCAATTTATTCTGCCCAAGAGTTTCTCTCTCTATTGTAGTAAACTACTCTTGAAGTGGCCTGCTTCACTGGTATCCCCAAAGCAGAGAACAAATCATGTAAAAACTAGAAGACACCATACAGGAGCCTAAAGCATTTCTAAAAAGACAGGCAAAATGGATTAATCCAAGTGGTCACTTCTTATAACTGAGCTAAAATGTAAATTTTGATTGTAAAAGAAGACAGCAAAGGCTGCCAACAGATCTGAACATTGGTGCAACTTTTATAGAATAAAAGGGTTTTTTTCCTTACCTACATATATTTTCCTTGTGGGTTATCCTGCCTGGTTTCAAAATGCCAACATAAGTTTCCTTCAGCAAGGAAGTTAAAAAGGAATGGACACCTCAGGATACTGTCATTTCTATTTCTATCATATGGGCATCTGGAAAACTTTTGCTGTTTTCTCTTTCCAGCAGGACAATCGCTTGTCTTCTTAGACTTGAGTAATGAAATTGATTCTTACAGTAGCAGTGCTAGCTAAAATAAGCTATATTTTCACTTTCACAGAAACTGAAAATCCTGGTATTTTGACACCAGGTACTTCAGCCTTGCCAGTTGCACAAATTATTTTTTTGTAGAGTTAGAGTGCAATTACTCTTTAGTACTATCCCCAAGACATGTTAACTTCTAAAAAAAAGCTTACATATTTCACTATATTATATATTTTTACATGTTATATAAACTTTTGTACTAGGGTGGTCTTATTATCAAGAGAAGATCATAGACAATTCATGTTGCTTAAAATTAGTTCAACACAGACTTTTCCCTAAATGTCAATATTGGAAATCAATAGTTGAAAATAATAACTAAAAATTCCTTTATTGTCAATTGCTCAGTATTCTCTCAAAAAGTTATGACTTCGCTGAACTCTCCAGGCACTGTAAAGAACAAGGAAAAAAACCCTTGCCATTTTAAAGCAAAAGGAAAAATAAAGGTGTACTACTACTCCTCATTTTGCATGCCAATTTTAAGAACCATCAGTAGACCACTTCAAGCTGCAAATCACTGAAAGTTAAATTTACCTATTACTAAATTATCATTGTAATAGGTATTGTGAGATCTGTAAACGTGTTGAATGAGCACATGCGAATATAAAAGTTACTGCTGAATCTGTTAATGGCAATTAATTCATACTTTATGTTTACAGGCAGTCCTCGACTTACGACTTTGAGTTGTGAGGAAACTCACTTGTGACGTTTATAAATTGACACCTCATGTCAACGTTCCGAAGTGGGTTTCGTCTTTATAACGGTCAATATGCGTGCAGCTGGTAAGTTGTGGAACGGGAGGGGGGAGGGGCTAATCAACACCCCCTGCAGTGAAGGAGGGACTAGGGCAATCATTGCCCAGCCCTGGGTGGGCAGGCGCAGGGAGCGGGGGGGCAGCAGCTCCTGCCGCCGCCACCCT